TGCTGCCATCAGTTTTCGTAGCAGTGACCTGATTTTTGCCAGTTATCTTTCCATATCCATTGACATGAACAACCTTTATAAAATGTTTATAAATTTACAAAGTTGAAAATTTTTTTGATGAACAAACATAGTTAATAGGAAAAAAACACTCTGAAAATAATTATCTAAAATAACATGATTCCTTAGTAATGTTACACATAGAGCAGCAAAAAATTTGTTACATAATATTAGGTCAGTCAGAAGTCTATTCAAGTTAGCAACCTGTTTTAAATTAAATAAATACCCCCCCACTCCATAATCAAGTTCAAATATCATCACTCAACACCACATAATACAATGTTAGTGTATATTATCAAATAAAGCAAAAATCTAACACTGACCTTATTCTGTTTGAATAAGTGGGCAATTCCACCTGTTAAAGCTTTTACTGCAGTACTCTTCTGCTCCATCATCTTATCTAAATTCAAGCGAACTTCAGACACTGTAATTTATTAAATAAATCTTTAGTCTTTAGCTAAATTCTTGAAGCAATGTTCAGTTAATTTTTCAGTTTAGTTAATTTTTCATTAACTAAAGTCTGGAAAGTTTCAGCCTAATGCTTACAAAACTGTATAAAAGACAGTAGTAAAATTTTAAAATTTAATAACTGATAATCATGACACCTGACAAATGGTCAACAACATCATTATCACCACAACAGAACTGATCTAACAACGTAAAATTTCCCCCTTGGGTAAAAATGCAATTCAAAATAAAATATCCCATTGTGACAATGTATTCTTCAAACACCTTATGATGGTTATAGTCTGGAAGATACTTGAGTAGAAATGGCAAAGTAAAATGTCATCTGAAATTTTAAATAAAGGAAAATGCTAAATTTCATGAAACAAAAACTAATTGCAAAATGTATACTTGAAAATTTCAAATTCAGGAGCTCAGTATAAATAAATTTTACTTAATCAGCTATGTTAACTTAGAAGAAAACTCCATATAAAAATGCTCAACTCAATCGAATTTTAGAGGTAAGAAGGGTATCTTAGAAATCAGCTCACAACAATAAGTATCTTAGAGATAAGGAAACAGAGTCTGAAGAATTTCTTATTTACCCAAGGTCACAGAGATAGACAGAAACCCTTGCCTACAATGCAGATCTCTTAATTACCCTATCTCCTCTTTTCTTTCATCATTCCACTTTCATCTGTTTGACCTGCTATTTGCTCTAGTGTATATACATGACCTCTATAATGTGGATTGCCTACATACTGCCCCTTTCTTTTTTTTTGTAGAGACAGTCTCATTTCATCGCCCTCGGTAGAGTGCTATGGCTCACAGCAACCTCCAACTCCTGGGCTTAGGCGATTTTCTTGCCTCAGCCTCCTCAGCATACTGCCCTTTTCAGAAACCTACTGCTATAAAAAATAAATGAAGGAAAAGTAACACCCCAAAGTATGCATGGATCGTTCCTAGATCAGGCTAACCCTCTGGAAGTATCAGTCAATGATATCTGGAGAGAAAAGATGAAAACAACCTAAAATAGCATGGCAGGAGACAAGACAAACCAAATTCAAATGTTATGAAATGTCCTCTTCCTTTTCTACTATGCGTCACTCTTTCTCTCCTCTGCTCTGCCCACCATCAACAACTCAGATATGCCTGCCTTCATTCCTTTTTCTTTATCCATAGCACTCAGGAATCCAGCTTCCCCAGAGATCGTCAGGTTTCACAGAAACAAAACCTCACTTTCCATATACACGAAAATGCAGCCTTAGGGCAAATGTCGTCAAAGGAACAGCATGTATTATGGTAGAAATCTGGGCCTAAATAAATCTGTACATCTTAAAGATTATATTCTTCCCTTACTAAATACCTATTACACACATGTTAGACACATACAAGTCTTTAGCCCAAAGAATCAATTCAAGCAGTCTGGTACTATAGCTAAGTATGAAAAGTACACGTACTTTCAATTCCTCTAGATGCAAAATCTTTTCCATGGGCCATATGGTAATAATGAGAGTTATTTAATAAAGCCTAAAGGAAATAAAAAGATGAAATTATCAAATATTCATAAACAGACTGCAAACAATAAAAATGTTATCTCTGAAAACACATTCTCTTTCAAATGGTCTCACCACAAAAATGCTAAGTATCTAAAATGATGGTTATGTTAATTAGCTTGACTTACTGTATCCGTAAACATTATATTCATAAATCGTAACCTTGTACTACATAAATATACACAACTATAATTTTGCCAATTTACAATAAAAATTTTAAAAGTAAGTTTAAAAAATGGCATTCTGGGCATCGCCTGTGGCTCAAAAGAGTAGGGTGCCGGCCCCATATGCCAGAGGTGGTGGGTTCAAACCCAGCCCTGGCCAAAAACTGCAAAAAAAAAAAAAAAGGCAT